ACGAGCAATAGCACGAGGCCGAGTGGTAACAGCACTGGTAGCGGCAACAGCACTGGTGGTGGTAGTGGTGGTAGTGGTGGCGGTAGTGGTGGTGGCAGTTGGGGTGGCGGTGGCGGTGGCGGTGCCATGTCGACGTTCTCTCATTCCGCCGTTATGCTCGTTATGATTGTCGCTTGGACTACAGTGATGAGCAATTTCAACTGAAATAATGTCATTTTTATATTGCATTTGATATTATGATACACAAGTATTAAACGATTTTATTTCACTAATTTTATTTATAAAATATAGTTGAGTTAATGTGAAGAAATGTTGAATTTAATTGGTCTGTGTTAAAATTCATTGTTTTTAAAATCATCCAATAATGATAATTATATTTAGAAATTGGGCAATCCTATCATTTATTTGTTTGTACCATGAGCGATCATTTTCTTTCGTCTAATTATATAAACAATTACACCATTTGACACGCTCACTTCCAATGAAAAAATCAGTCACAACCATTTCTATCCCATTTATACCAAATTTCCACAAAGGTATGTTTTCGAATAGTGATGCCCCACGGCAGACAAAGGCGAGTATATTCTTTCTGTATTTAGTATTTTTAGGTCTCTCATTTGTCGGATAGCAACCGACCGCTTATTATAAAGGTATAGAGAATTTCAGCAATTTTTATTTCCTCTAGTTATATAATGCTAATTTGTACAATTAGCTTGCCCTTATGGTCAGCATATTTTATTATAAGCATTACACCTTTTTGACAATTTTTTTTCCACGATACAAAATACTTTATTTATTTGGAGCTCTTTTAGCCCACTGTATTAACGTAAAGTAATGTAAGGAAATTTCTTAAGAAGCTGTTGTATACTTTTAGGCATCACTCAAACCAAAATTTAAACAAATACAAACAAATTTTTAAACTTCTTGGAATGATTATATCAGAGAACGTAAATGAATTATGTATTCTATGTTAATGAATTATTATATAATATTTATAATTATTATTCATTAGCATTCTCTGATATAATCAAAATGTATATACATACATATGCACTGATGTTCTTTGGTAGGCGTATAAATTAAAATTAAAATAATAAAAAAAAAGAAATTGACTTCTGACAAGAAAATATAAATAATGAGGGAAATAATATGAAAATAGAATTAAAAAATCATTTAATGAAAAAGAGTTATAAAAATTAAAAAAAAAAGAGTATAAAAAAATATCTGATTATATCAGAGAACGTATTCTTGTATGTTCTCTGATTATATGTATGGCAAAGTTAAGTCTATTTAAAGGCTTAGGGGTAGTTAGAATTTACTAAAAATAATTTTTTTTTTAAGTTTTCTTAAAATATAATATTCTTTGAGAATTTGAAGTAAATGCGACAAATACTTTTCGGGTTATTTGGTAATAAGCAAAGAATTCTCTAGCTCTCTGTAACGTTCGTTTAAAACTTCAAATGAGTTTTACTCATAACTGTATTTTTTGAAACCCTTAAGGGTAGTTCTTGCTTAAAGAGAGCCCACTGACTGATAGCGAAGTACTCGAGAGCTCGTCTAGAGACACTGTACGTATATATTATCGTTATACTATTGTTTATTGTAGTAATTAAGTTTATTAATTTTATTCAAATAAACAAATATACCAAAAAAAAAAAAAAAGAAAGCCCACTGACTATAATGCTATTACTTATGAAAGTATATGTTATAATCCTTTGACATCCGAATTTTGATCTTTTTTATTCGCTATTAAAATATGTAATGTATGTAAGTATGTGTATATGTAAATATATAATTATGAAATGAAGGGAGTGTTAAGTAAGGAAAATATGAGGGAAGTATGTCTAACAAACCTAAAGCGTGCAAGCCCCATGAATTATAATTACGTATGATATGACTGACAGAATTATGACATGACCATTGGAATTTTCCGAGATTCTTATATATTCCTAAAATATGCAGTGGAACTGCTAAGAAGTAGATAAGAAGTAGACAAAAGTAAAAAAAAAAAAAATAGGTGCGATTTGTAGTCATCTTGTATAACATACGAGTATAATCAGACAAAACAATTTATTACTCCAGATAAGTGCAGCTGTTATCAAGCAGTGTTTATAGCCAATAGTTGGATTTAATATTAACTAATTTACTAATATATTTACGGCAACTCTAAAATATATATAACCTATATGGCCACTTCAATATTCCCAAATCCAGTCTAAATCCATAAAGTACTTAGCGGTATCATATATTAGACTTATGAATTTAGTAGACTTTACTGTTGGATATATGCATTTTCTATAAACATTACAGAAAACTCGCAGCTGCAGAACTTATACGTCATATGTTTTATGTTTATAAACAATAATGTATAAAATTCGGCGATTAAATATATTTTTAGCTCAAAACCATTATCAAGCCGTTTATAAAAAACAATGTCAAAACAAAAGTTGCTGTCAAAATCACTATACTGTAGGGGGTACGAGTGCTTAATAAAAACAAAAAATTTTGAATGCGCTATAATAGGGAGATAAGCACACTTCGTATGTTCATCAGAAGAACGCAATAAATAGAATTCAGTAATTATGATTTATAAGTTTAATTAAATTTAACGGAACAACATATGTATAATAAGTGCCCTTTATATTCTAAATGACATTTATGTCACTAGCAGCTGTCATTTTTATATCAACTCAATATCAATTAATAAGCATATTGAGTTATACAATATCAATCAAAATTTGAATATTTCTATGTCGGGGCGAGATACATATGAGTACAATTATAGGTATGCATGCTTTAGAGTATAAAGGTAATAGTTGCAATTTGCAAAATAAATTTAAATGAATGAATGAATGCTGATAAGAAGCCATGACTTTTGGCAGCGCGGTAGAGGAATAAATAAAATTACATTCAATCGAATCAAAAATATAACAAAAAGCTAAATTAAACTGTTTAGAACTGAAAATAGCGCCACTTAAGTGAGCAAAAACAATATTGAAGTAGAGAATGAAAACAAAACTAAATAAACGGTAATAACAGAATAGGTAAGCGTGATCGTGCGGTACGCTACAGCACACACGCATTGGCAAAAAATTATACACATTTACGTACACACATGCACACATGCATACGCACTTATAGGTATGATATACATATACAAGTATTACATAAATATTCAGTAAATTCGTTGGCAGAAAATATTTGCATAAAATTTAGCATTGTGAATGAACACTTTGCATGCAAATCAAAGGTTCTATTCCTTCCATTCTGCTTTTGTGAATTTTGTGGAATTTTTTTTCTTGCATATTAATGGGCTTGTGGAAATATTAATTGTTTGAATTGATATGGAAAATGTGTGTTGCTAAGCGGAATGTATAGAAAATTGTGAAATTTAATTTTTAAAGTGCATGTTTTTAAGTTACTTTTATAAATTACTATAATCACTAATTTTAATCGATAAAAATGTTGAGTCCTTAAAATTGCTAAGAAAAACGTCGATAGTTTTTTGTTTAAATTTCCGTGAAAAAATTTTATAATAAAATAAAATATATTTTATGTAATTTTGCAAGCTTTTACTTTATTTTATTTGGTTTAATTTTTTTTTTGTTTTTTTAATTTAAATTTACTCTATTTTATTTTATAGCATTTTATTAAATTTTAATTTAATTTAATTTAATTTAATTTATTTTTAATATAATTTTATTTTAATTCACTTTGTTTTATTTTATTTTCCATTATATTGTACCATTTTATGTTACGTTAAGTTATGTTGTGTTATACAATGTTACGTTACGTTAAATAGTTTTATATAATGCTAAGCTATCTTATTTGTTTGCTTATTTTCTTTTATAATTAGTTTATTTAAGTCTCTTCATATTAATTTTTTTTTTATTGTGATTTTATTTTATTTTTTACATATTTTTAATTTTGTTTCTAATCGATCCTTTATGTAGGGTCATAAAATTAACAATCTAAAAAAATTAAAACTTTGTCAGTTTATGTTAAGTTTTGTTGTGTTACGTTAAGTTTTGTGACGTTACGTTATGCTAGTTAAGTTATTTTATATTACGCTATTCTATCTTATATGTTTGCTGACTTCATTTATAATTCAGTTGCCTTTGTATAAATTATACCCTGAACATAAGTTTGCCACAAAGTTTGTAACATCCAGAAGGAAACGTTGGAGACCCTATAAAATATATTCATAAATGACCAGCGTGATGAGCTGAGTCCGTCTGTCTGTTTGTGCATATGCAAACCAGTCCCTTAGTTTTTGAGTCCTTTCCTCACTAAAAAGCTGCTCATTTGTCGGAACGGCCGATATCGGGCCACTATAGCATATAGCTGGCATACAAACTGAACAATCGGAATCAAGTGCTGGTATGGGAAACCTTATTATTTAACGAGGTATCTTCACAAAATTAGATCGGAATCAATTAGGTAACCTTTGTATTTGTAAAGGGTATTATAGCTTCGCTGCAACCGAAGTTAACATTTTTTCTTGTTTATTTTGAATTTAATTTTTTTTATATATTTTTTCCAAATCATCCCTGCTGTAGGGTGATAAAATTACTAATCTTTAAAAATTATCGGCATTTCGCACATGGACAAAAAAGGTTTGTTATCAATAACAACAAAAAATGTCAAGAAAACATATTTATGAAAGAACAACGGCTCTGAACATAACAAGCAACAACAAAATCAAAACAGCTACTTGTGCATATGCTCACCATAAATAAAAAAGTTGTTATTGTTATTGTTATTGTTGACTTCACCGCCGAACGCGGTATGCGCATTAGGAATAAGCACAGGTACGTATGCCGTTGGGAAAAGTAAGGGGGGCGCTGAGGTTATTGGGTGATGATTTTTAGTTTGGTTTTATTAGAGAAGTTTTGAGCCACAAATTCTGTGAAAATACTAGATAAATCTTTCAGTAAGTAAAATATAGAATATATAATGTTAGACAATAATCTTAGGCGTACAATTATCTCGAAGGGTTGATTTTGATCAAATAAAAAATATGAAGACCCGACGTTCTGACGCATACCGAATTTTTGCTTTGACGTTTTCGGAAGTCGACGGATGATAATCATCAACTCTGTGAAATAACATACTAACCAAGAGCCAATCTGCTAGAACTCTAAATTTTAGCGCGTAGCTGAAGATAGTGACTACAAAGTCCGCCTTGGCCACTTGCTAAAATTCATCTAGAACCGTCCCTGTATATAAACAGTACGCACAGAGCCACAAACACACTTTATTTACATACAAATCCAGAGTATGTACACATATATACACACACATATAGACAACTTAGATGCAAACCATCAACGAATGCCGTTGCCGCCGTTGCCGCCGTTGCCGCCGTCGTTGTTGTCATTCTCATTTTCATTTGTTGCTGCTAGTTTTTAGAAGTCAATCGAGAATTGTCGACGCTACCAGGCGGAACATCAACCGAGTTTGTGCTCTCATAGGTGAAAAAGGAAGTGTTTTGTTAATAAAGGTGAACTTATTGAACTCCGTGTGCAACTACCGAAGGCAGCCTGGGAAAATGCATCGCAACGAAAGTTTAAACAAACTGATGAAAGTCTTCATTTTGGCATTTTTTTGCAATGAAATGCACTCGAGTAAGTAAAAAATGCAAAAGCAACAACAACAAAGTAAATGTGCATATGTTTCTGTTAAATAAAACAAAAAAAAAACGCTGGTATTTCTGTTTGCCAAGCATTTGTGCACAAGTGGTTTTCTTAAAGTGGCGATCAGAAATTGAAGTGCCAGCTAATGCCAAACGGCAACAGCGGATTTAATGGAAAAACAGAGTAAATCAATAAAATTAGCTTGAGTGGGTGATTGTGCTTAGAACAAGGGTTAATAGCCGAATTTTATTTAAATTGTTGTTTGTATTTTTTTTTATTGATGAAGTGTAAGGTTACTGTGGTTATAAGCATTTGATTTCAGCTATTTTTATGCCACACGCCAATATTTGATGCGCGTTGTGCCGATTTTGCATAAATCGACTGAATATGAAAAAGTGCTTAAGTAGAGATTTGCTAGTTTTTAGATAATAATTTTTTTTAAATTTGATTTGAGGAGCATAATAATAGTAATATAGTTAATTTTTTTATAAAGAATCGAAATTTTTGGCAGAAAATTTTCGTTAAGATATCTAGTGTATTTAGAGTTTTTTCTATGTGCATTTATCTGTACCTAATTTTTTGAAATTAAGTGCTTTTCTTTTTCAGAGAGATTTTCATACATGTTCTTAAATGCAAAACAATAAAATTTATTTTGAGTTATTTTTTCGATGTGATTTTTTTAGTCTGAATTTTTGAAACCATGTGAACTTTCTAGTCCTTATTTTTGAAATTAAGTGGTTTTCGAGCATAATAATGTCGACGTATAATTTCAGTTTGCCTATATATTTTGCAATTCAATTTGAAAAATTTTGAAAAACTACAAAAATTTAGGTTTGCTTGCAGTTAAAGTTTATTATAAATATGTTTATGTGACAATATAATATAACTTTCGTCAGAGGCGATTTATGCAGTTTTCGTTTTTACTATTTAGGTTTTAGGCAATAAGCTTTTACAGTTTGGGAAAAAAAATCTAAACAAAATTTTCATATGAGAAAAAACAAAAGAAAATATTGGCAGTTTAAAGAACCACTTTTACATTTCTTCGAAACTAGTTTGAAATGTGATGCTTATTAGTCAAACGATGGCTTTTTTCCATACAAGAAAATGTTAGTTTTTAAATGATCAGCAATAGAACAATATGCTACTAAAATAGACACAAACAAATTTGGTTAGATTGTAACAAAAACAAAGTAGTGATGTTTGAGTTTGAAAAAGTGAGATATGAAAGAAAAATTCCCTGAATACAGTATAATAAGCTTAAAAAAAAATATTAAATTAAAAACAAATTTTAATTTTTAAAATGACAAACTTACACTTGCATATAATCTGTTCACATAATTGCATTAATTTAAGTTTAAACCAAGTAAAGCCATTTCAGTCGCTTTTGGTACAGTTTTAATACTTTTCGGACTAGTTCACGTTGTTATAAAAATTTGACTAGTGCGCGGCTTTACTGCGTGGTTTAAATTACTTATATATTTCATTTAAGGCCTCACTTGCTAAAGTGTATGCGCTATATGTATTATATATATGCACAAATATATTTTTATACGTTTTAAAATCATAATTGTGCAAAAAAAAAAAAAAGGGTTATAGTTTATGTAAATTGGTCTATAATTGCGTTGTAAAAGCTCTCTGCGTGTATATAAATACTTTCAATTATAAATAAATTTGTTGTATATTAAGTGAGTGTCAATAAGGCGGCCCATTAATGTATAAGCAATACTTTAAAATTCGTTTTCTTTAAGCTCTATCACCACAAACCGAAAAAAATCTGCCTTTCACAGCCAAAAAAAAAAAACACATATAAAATTTTGGCACTGTTTGGAGATGTTTGAGGTTTGTTACAATGTGCGATCATATGAGAGACCAACTCCATTAAAATATATATTTTATGTGATTTTTTTTAAATATTATTACCAAAATTTAATTAATAATTATTGCCGTTAAAAAAATTTAAAAATGTTATTATAAACAATTTACTGATGATCAAAAAAATAAAAAAAAAACGAGAACAAACGTCAATTTCGGTTGCACTGAAGCAATAAGACCTTACACATGTGCATTTCTTATAGCATAAATGAGTATAAAAAGATCTTATCTTGATTTTGAAAGATCATTTTGAACCATAGTCCAACTAGTAGTCCGATCTGAATAAAAAATTCGGAGATTGTAGCACGATCTTTGACAAATCTAGTGAAGAAATCACATCAAAAATAGTTAATGTATATACAGATGTGCAGACGGACATGGCTAAATCAACTACCCTCGTTACGCTGTTTATTTATATATACATACATTAAAAAGGATCTCCGTCGCCTAATTCTGGGAGTTACAAACTTCGTGGCAAACTTAATTTATAATATGTATACACTGTTTATGGTATAAATATATATAAAATAACATAAAAGTAATAAAAGAATCCTCCTATTACTTTTTTTCAGTGTTACTAAATTTAATGCTAAATACACGTGTTGTGAAAAGCTGACCTTAAAACATTGCACTTTCATATAAAAAAATTAAATTATGCCCTCATAGAGGCGATTTGTGTAAACTCTTTCTAGCTTTGTTTAATACTCCGAATGTGGTTTTTAGGCTTTGCTTTACAACGCTTATACATATGTATACATTTTTTTAAACATTCGTGAGAACTAATTAAATTTCGCGGTCAAAAATATAAATTATTTTCATACCTACTTGTGTGATAAATATAGTAGTGCTATCCGATTACATTGCAATATAGCGCGTTGTGCTATTTACATAAGAAATATATGTATTAGGTGTGATATTTTGGTTCCAAAGTTCATGAAAAATACAATCGTTTAGAAGAAAAAAACTGTAATATTTAATTATAAACTTTTTTCTTACTTTAAATATTGTTATATTTATGTACATATTATGTACAAATAGATTTGCTGTAAAAACTAACTGAAAAATGTATTTAAATAATAAACAAATCTTATAGTCAATTTAAACTATAACTACTGACCGTTTCTAGAGCTTAACGAATGTAAAAGTCACCCTGTAGGAAAATTTCAGTACTTTTTTTTTAAAATTCGCTATGTTATAGAAATTTTAGTTTATATTTATAAAACTTTGGTATAGTAGTTATTATACCAATAATACCCTATATATAACTGCACTGCGTGATCAGTTGAGTCGATTCAGCCATGCCTCTATGTTGCAATCTCCGAATAAAATGTTTAGATCGGACTACTATAGCATAGTGCTGCCATACAAACTGACATATGAAAAGCAAGATAGAGATCTTTTATAACCTTTTATGCTATAGGAAATGCACCTGTGAATGGTATTATAGCTTCGGTACAACCAGGGTTAACTTTTTTGCTTGTTTTTCATTTGATTCTATAATTAGTAAATAAATAATAAAATTATTTTTTTTTGTAAAAATCGCATATAATGCAACATGGGTTCTTATCAATATTTCGGTTATCAGATTATGGTCAAGGTTAGCTGTACGCTTGATCTCGCTCAATCATGAAAACATATGAAAAATATTAAGACGAAATTCTACATTTCATTATTTTTATTTTATTGATTGTATTGAAGCAATGTAGAGAGTTTCCAAATCAATTTTGATTGCATATATGTATGCACATATATGCTTACATATTCTCTATTAACTGTCGCCATGGTATTTATCTTGCCATAAATTTAAAAGCCGATAAAATGTTGCTTTGCCAATTTTATTGGTGTTTGTTTTCGCTACTGAGTTCAAAGCTTCACTTTGTTTCAGGCCTAAGTGGTTTCAAGTCTACACTCACTAATGTTTGTTACAGTTGATGGAGTGTTTCATGCTTAAACATAATGACACACCTTTTTCGCAAATATGAAGTTATGAGCATGTGAAATATTCTTCACATCACTAGCACTACATTTATTGAATTATTTGTTTATAACTCTACTTATCAAGTTTATTATCAAGGCAAAATGTTTCGAAAGAAATGCCCTAAAAATCTAAAATAGCTAAAGCTAAATTTATTCGTGCTATAAACAAAGTTTAATAGAGTGCGTATACTATAAATATTAAGGATGCCCTAATATGCGTTATGCAAAATTATAATACAAAATAATTTTGTATCACCTTTACTGCACAGGAAAGTTTCAAGAGTTAACAAAACTAGTTTTGAAAACGCTAAAATTTTTGGAAACTTGGTTTTATATTTATTTGGAATGAAAATAGTATGTTTTTAAATCAATACAAAAACCTTAAATGCGGTTTTCAAATGCTTAAAACTCAAATTCTCAGAAAATTATCCATAATGAGCGCTTTAAATTAGGTTTTTAAGTCCTTAAAATAAAAATTTCTGAAGTAGTTAACCTTAATCTAATCTTAGTTATGTAAAGAGTATTTTTTGTTTGGAAATATTTTGTTATATATCAAATAACTCTTATATCAGAGATTGGATTTAAAAATAACGGAAAAAAGGTATGAATAGAAATCATGTCATAAAAATATCGAAGAGACACACCTATGTACATTTTCTGACAGCCAAAAAAAATGTGGATTTTTGGGTAGTAAAAAAAAAGCTACTCCATCAAGTTTTTCAAATTTTGAGCTTTTAAGTATGCATAGTAAAATTTTTATCGAAAAAATTAAAATTTTTCAAGTTACACGCGAACTTTGACCGTTCCAAAAAGGGTCCTTACTGCAACAGTGATTTCAACCATTGCCGTGCTTGAAACCAAAAACAAAAAAAAACAAGAAAAATCGTTAACTACGGCTGCACCGAAACCAAAGTACCCTACACAAATTATAAAATTCCAAAGGAGAACTTGATTTTCAGCGGTGAGCGATTTTAGCGATTTGAAACTTCTTGGCGAGAAAAGGACGTACGCAAAATTTCGAACCGATATCTCAAAAAGTAAACTAAGTAAATCGCCTCAGCTCGTCATGCTGGTCATTTATATATACATTTTTTAGTGTCTCCGAGCTTGTTACAAGCTTTCTGGCAAATTTATTACATCAGGGTATAATTATGGTATACAAAAAATTTTGGCTTGTTTTTGGCATGTCGAGATTCGATTTTTGATCAGGTCAAAAAATGATAAATCATTATATGGATTAACGAGTAAACACTGCAGCGATTTCTAAACATTGTGTCGCGTTTAAATACAAACTGATTAAGGCTGTAACTCAAAAACTATTTGAGATATATATTTTAAATTTTAGTACGTTATTTTTAAAATGTATACATTTTTTATTTCACATGAGATGAAAAAAATGTATTTTTCAAAAAAATTTTCAAATTATTTTAAAATTTTTTTCAAACAATTTTTTTATAGACATTTTAATATACTATTCAAAAAATTTACGAAAAGTAGTATATATAAATCTCAAATAGAGAAAATTACGAACTACCCTAATGTTGTAGATTTATAAACAACATCGTATCAATGCAAAAGTTTGCATGCAGATAAGCAAAAAGCATGTCACGGAGCCACATACTAACTAATTGCATATATGTATGTATGTATTTAAATATAGTATATATGTATGTATATGAAATATATACATATGTATATACAAATTATGAGCTGGTAACTACTTTGAACCAACTGCTTAAGTAAATCCCCCAATAATTCATCAAGTTTATCAGTAATTTTTTAAATCGCAAGCAATGAAATCGATTATCATATCGGTTACGGAAATTTTCGAATAAATAGTAACGAGTATGTATGAACGTAACGGTATAGCGCCGCAAAATAGTACGAATTTGTCAGTGTGCGACACGTGCTGCTTGTTAACTGTTTAACGGCATTTACGTGCCCCGAGCAATGTGAAACTGAAAAACTCTGGTTTATGAGCACAAAATTAGAATATGCGCCGTAAATTGTGTCATTAAATTTAATGTTAAGCTTAACTAAATCGACTTTCGTAATGAGATTTAGCTAGTTTTTATTTATTTCTCATCTTCTTCTTCTAATTATCTGCCGCACAGGCTTCACGCAGTCCAATGCCGCCGAACACCCCTTCAACGTCTACCCCAGCAGCATAAACGGCAGCGAGGCAACATTGGAGCATGCGCAGTATCAAGCCTCCATCCGTTTGGCTATCGAAGATTACATGTTTGGCGAGGGACACATTTGCGGCGGCGCAGTGATAGCACCGTCTGTGGTGCTAACCGTAGCGCATTGTGTACACAAGTAAGTGCACGCGACGAGCGCATGCCATCGTGGAAATATACGACAGCTCTTATCTGTCGATTGCTCATAAACTATTTCAATATTTATCTAAATACAAGAATGTATGTATGCATATGTACTTATGTTGTGTTTATTGCATTTCTGCAGCTACCAGACGCAGACGTCGCGTCACCCGGCTGAATTGAAAGTGGTCATGGGCACACTGAATCGTTATCAACGCGACGAACATACGCTTGTCTACGGCGTGACCCACGTACATCGGCCGCGCTCGTTCAACGCACACACCTTGCGCGATAATATAGCGATCATAATGTTGGAACGTGACATTCCACTCGCACATCCCACCGTGAAACCGATTACTCTGAGTTTGACGGCCTTAAGTGACGCGAAGACGCATGAAATGCTTGCCGACAATGCAGCGAAACGGCATAAGTACGTGGTGACTAGCTGGCTGGTTACAAAAGAGGTGTGTATACTTATATATGCCGAAAGGCTTTAGCTTGTAACATAAACCCTAACCTTGAAACGCGCCGCGCTTAGTTTCCCTAATAATGACGAAAATAGTTAGAGTGTACATGATTAGGTTAGGTTAAGTTAAAAAAGACAATCCTGTTACAAACGCCAGCAGAGATCTCAGACTTGCAAAAGCTATCAAATGGAAAAGAAAGTGAACAATGTCCAATAAGAATCCCTATGATGGCGGCAAGACGAACTTTGCTGAGAGCAAGTAGTCCAGAGAATCTCCTGCGTTGTACTCTAGGTCAGAAGGATCTCGCAGTCGCACTGCAGCTGGTCATCAACCAACGTCTGCTAAGTTCACACGAAGTCCATAGATCTAGTGCTAGAACGCAGGAGGACAACGGAGATCTAGCTCGTTTCCACTTCCACGTAAGTGATGCAAGGGTGCCGCCACTTGCGAGCTCATTAGCTTTGCAGTTTCCAGCATTAGGAAATATTAAAAAAAAAATTTTTTTTAATGAATTTACAGGAGCCAGGGTCCTTGATTATAAATTTGCTAGGGTCCAAGTCCCTAAAGTTTTGAGATATCGACGGATTTATTTCGAACGTTCAATAAAGAAAAACTACTTCTTCATTTGAACTTCCTGACATGTAACTAGAGGTCAGAAGTGAACACTCGTATCTCCAGTAAAAGAATTGATTCCGAAAAAACTTTCAACCACTTCAATGAGCTCGCCACGACTATTTCCAATATTTGACTGACGCTTTTGAAGACTGTTGATTGAGTACTAATTTTCACTACTTCCTTTCAGCACATACCCTATACCCAATTGATGTCATTGAATGCCACTCAGCTGAGCGATCAGCAATGTGCGGATAAATATGGACAAATCTATGGACCAGATATGGTGTGTGTCGGTTATCTGGGAGCACAGCAGTGGGAAACTGCCTGCAAACAAGACGCTGGCGCACCGCTGGTGGAAAATAATCAACTGCTGGCGCTTACTGCTAAACAAAGCGTCGATTGTAAGACATGCTCAGAACCAGCGCTTTTCGTCGATGTCAGTCATCATGCCAACTGGATTTTGGAGATAATCGGCGATGGCACAAATCGCAATAGTTCCATTTGGGGTACGCTGTTCTTCTTAATATTCACAATTTGGACAGCGCGACGCACGAAATACTTCAAGCTTTGGCTTTAAGCCTAAGCTGTGTGGAGCAAATTTAATTTTAACCGTATTCCTTTGTGAATACAATAATTTAGGATTGAATGAATTAAGGCTGAACTTTTTCAAGAAACATTTTTTTTATATGTATATGTATATAGATTTTGTTGTTATATATAATTTGCATTCCACAATTGTAGATGAATTGGAGAAGTGTATATATACAGTGGGAACGAACCTAAATAACCTCAAAAGACATAGTTCTAAGATTAAATAATAAAGCTGGATTTATTAGATAATTAATATTATATTTGTTGCATTTGTGGTAGTTTTAGTAAACGAGTTATTATGAAATATTTTTTTGTAAACATAAATAGAAAAAAATTATACCAGAATTAATTAAACAATTTGTTAGTAAAATAAATGAGAATTTGATTGAAAAAGAACATCTTTTTCCAATACAAATATGTTTGAATATAAAAAATAATTGTTTCCTCCTAAGAAATGTGGTAATATTTGTTTTTTGCAAATAGCTGTAAATAAGATTTTGATTCTATCTTATTATCAGTAACTGTATATCCCAATTTAAGTTTATTTCCGCTAAGCATTTTTATCAGTAGTAAAGCAACTCTCAATAATTAATTTGTTTGATAAAAAAATTCAATAAATTATTCTGATAACTGAATTGCGCTACTTAAACGGTTGATTCTATTATATTGATTTTTTTTAATAATAACTTTTTTTAATTGAAAAAGGTGGCAACACTCCTCCAAATATCTTCAATTAAAAACGTTTTTAACCTTTTTGAAAATATGTATAAAAAATGTACTTCTTGAATAATTTAAATAAATTTATGTTTTAAATAGGTGGCAAACATTTTATATTTATTTTGACTGTAAACCTCTTAAAAGGCTTTGTTTCATACTCACGTGGGAAATTTTCGATTATATCAGAAATTTTTTAAATTAATTTTTTAAAGTTGACAACTTTTTTCAATAATTATTTTCTTATGTGAGCTTTATTCAATCCAAAAAAATAACATAAATTGAAGTTGTGTTGTATGTTTCTCATTTAATTTTCAATACACTGAACAAGGTATATTAAGTTTGCCACGAACATTGCAACATCCAGATGGAAACCTCGGATACCTTATAAAATATGTATAGGTATAAGTAATCAGCGTGACGAGCCGAGTCGATTGAGCCATGTTCGTCTGTATGTCTGTCTTTATATATGCGAACTAGTCGCTCAGTTTTTGAGATATCGATCTGAAACTTTTCACACGTCATTTTCTCTCCAAGAAACTACTAATTTGTCGGTAGCGCCGATATCATATTACTATAGCATATAGATAACCATACAAGCTCAACGATCAATGTATGTAAAACTTTTTTATTTGGCGAGATATCTGCACGAAATTGCGCATAGAATACTTGCAAATTTAACGCTAAAATATCTAAAAAAAACTTTCAGTTTGTATCACTATAACATATAGCTGTCATACGAACTTATTGATCAAAATCAAGCTGTTATATAGAAACTTTTTATTTGCGAAGGTTATTCCAGTTTTGGTGCAACCGAAGTTAACTTTTTTTTCTTCTTTTTAATTGAAACAGGTAGCAAGTTTGTAACTTTGAATAATTCGAGTACCCTGCAAAATTTTCTACAATAAATTTTTTTTTAATTTGCTCTGCGATCATTATTGTGTGGAGAAAACAAAATAAAACACTGTAGTCACAATATTCAGCCTAAAAGTATGTTTCGAAATATTTACTTCGTGAACACTTAGAATGAGGAATTTACATATGTACATACAATATGTATGTATATTTTGTATTACTTCTTTAAACGAATAATAGTTTTTTCAATTTAATAACTTTGAAGAACGACAAATTGCCTGCAATAAAGGCTTCATGGTTACAGAAAGTGTTGAATTAAATTTTATTTTCATATTTACTTAGTTAGAACAACATGAAATTTAAAAAAATATTCTCATAAAATTGTGGAAACCTGCAACTCCATGGAAGAGAGTCATATACATACATATGTACTAGCCTAAATCAGTACATTAGCCATCTGTTTACTTCCAAGGTTTTGGTAGACACAAATTCACGACTAACTTCCACTTTTGGGTTTCCGCCATCAGATTTTACTAAATTTTAGCTTTTTCTTATTAAATATACTCATAAAAGGTGACTAACATAATGTTATAATGCATATTTACACTCATACAAGCATAACAAATATATTACATTTGGTAATTAAGCGAGAAAAATGCTGCAAGGAACGACACGATTTTCACTTGTTAATGTCAATTTTTTTTTATTGACTTAAACTTTGCCATACTTTTAGAGATAAATACTTGTATATTACTGCAATATAAGAGTACCCAATAGGAAAATTTCGCAGTGATAATACCATATGTGTGTTCTGTTATATAATACATATCGATACGAAATTTCGAAGCGATACATCATTAGGTACGGTCGATCTAATCGGAGAACGTCTGCAACGAAATCGCGAGACGTTCCAAATCTCTAAAATAGAAAAATAATTTTTTATTGATCAATTTTAAAATTTTTGAAAATTTGTATATCAAATTATATGATAAGGGATTACTACAAAGGGAAGGGCGCGCAATAGTTTACAGTTGAAAATAAAATTGTGTAAGGTTGCCAAGTGTTTGAAAAGTGTTATTTCCTGTTTGAAACATAGGCATATGTATGTATATACAGAAAATTTATAACATCATTTTTTTTTCGAGAAAATTAGAAGTATTAGATAAGCATAGTCTCAAAATGATCGGCACCTAGATCGGTTGAGGAAAGCATGCCGGATTGGGAAATATGAATAAAGTAACGAGCATTATAACAGTATCTTATTATATAATATTTATTATCGAAACCAATAATATACTACAAAATCTTAAATATTTTTATGTCTCAATGTCTCCTATCAATTCACTCAGAACTCCGAATATTGCCTTCATTCCTTTAATAGCTGATTTTTGAACTTAATTTAATTATTTTTTTATTCAATAAATTAGAAGTGATTTTTATAAATAAATGATTTTTAAAGAGTGTTCAATTATTGAAATTAATTTTCTCTTGATTATATTCACAAACAAATACAATTGCGTTATACATTAGATAGTAATAATAAATCTCAATTATGTTTCACATAAGAGAGTGAGTAAGAGTAAACTCTTACTCTCAAATTAATGTTCTCTGCCTTTTATCTTTTAACTGATTTTCGCCTTTAATGCTGGGTGAAATGACTAAAATTTTTCCTACTGGGTATAATATTTCTTACAAACATATATACATGCGCACATATACAGACATTCATACTTATATTTATGTTGGCAGCATGTTACGTGTTAATTACCCATTAACATGACCATAATTATGGTCAAAAACAATTATTTTAACAAGGTATGTATATTGGCAGGCAAGCTCACATACCTACATATACTTCTATGCATACATAGATACATATGTATATATGCATGTTATGTACACTTGTAGTTACTGCAAAAGTGTTTATGTGAAAATTCATCTTTGATGTATCTGTGTGTATTGAGTCACGAAAAACCATTTTATGTAAAAATATAAAAATAAATGTAAACATATACATACATATATATATATAAATATATGTTAAATATATGTTTGTAAGCTACTTTTGCGTAATTGCCGAAAATTGCATTCATTTTTATGGCTAATAAAATTTGAACATTGCATTTGGCACCCGACAGAAATAATTGAGATTTTCCACGCACTCTTGTAATTCGAGGTTAAGCGCGAAAATTATCGAATGGATTTTGTTGAAATTTCGAAAATTTAAATATTTTTTATTTCAAATATCATTTGGCGCGATAATGAAATAGTAATTGAATAAATACTTAATTGACTGAAGAACTATCGGTTTATTACATAATATATGTAGAATTTGAAGAATTTATCTAACGACTAGTACGCTTAATATAAAATAATTATTTTAAGGCATCCAAGAGAGTCCACGGCTCTTATTATTATTCTCTGCAAATTGTGGCAATTTTCTTTCAAAACGAATAACGGAAATGTAGTCATTTTAAGCTAATTAATGTATTCTATGCAACCAAACCTTTCCCCATACTTTTTCAATACACACATAAATATATATATATGTACATAAATACATATTGTACATTGGAAAATTTAAAACACACTTAAGTTTTTTTGGAAATTTATGTCTATCGATTCAAAATTTGTATTTGTTTTTGGTTTAACGGTACATTAGCGCTGTGGGCAGTTTCGTTATGATGCCGAAGAACTCATAAATCTAATTTATGGCCGCAATTATGTGCACATGTGTGCATAGGTACATACGTACATATGTATTGTATTTATGTATGTATAAAAGAATATATATAGAGATATGTTTTTGAGTATCGTGGATATTGCTGACGAGTCGAAGGGGTCGCATTGCCTGAGTGCCAGTTCTAATGTCCATAATGGCATGCGCCATTGATTTTTGCTGGCTGAAGCGACGACAGATGAGGTGAGTTTAGTTAAGGTTTGTTTAGACGATATGCCTAAAATTTAAGGATTAAAAAAATGATAATTCAACGAAAAACATGCAACATTTTATAGCAATTTCGGAAAAATTTTAAGATTTTTAATTTGAAAGCTGATATGTTGATGGAGGTTTATATATAAGTTTATCGACGATTCAAAATTATCAAACACCCTGTTTTGGTAGATTTCAAATATCAAAAAATCCGATGTATTTTGAAATCTCAGTGATCTAGTTTTTCGAATTAAGTAAAAACTATAATACCAAAGTAAAAACTACTATGTCAATCATTTGGTAGACAGGGGTAAGTGTTCCGAATGCTCAAGTGGGTAAATTTGACGATTTCAGAACCGAAATTTGGAACATTTATTTTTATTTTTATTTCAGAAAGCAATTTCGTTCAATTCGACATACATACATTATTGATTGATTGTGAGCTCAGTCGGATCTTTAAGCTCATGGCTGAGTTGCTAAAAGTCAAAGAAAATCGTTTTCTCATAATCAAGCCAGGAAATTTGTTGAATTATTCCAGTAAGAGCGTCAGAATAATGTCTAATATGCGTTGGAGATCTATTAGCTGAATTAGCGATAATCATTTTAATTATAACGGATTGCACTTTCAGGTTTTCGAACAATTTGTACAGATCGGACCACTATAGCATATAGTTGCCTGACCAAACTGACCGATAAGAATTAAGATAAAAATATTTTCATATCTCTTTATGTTGTAAAAAATGAACAAGTGAAGAGTATAATAACTTCGGTGCAGCCGATCTTAACTTTTTTTTTGTTTTTGTTAAAAACATTATTATGTAGAATCCTCTGTATAGTATTACAAATTTATAAATTTAAATTTATTATTTAATATTTAAAATACTCACTTTCAAAC